TCCATGCGCTCACCTCAAAAAAAGGGTCTTATATAGGGACAATGTAAAGTGCTCACACCGTGCTGGTAGTCGAATGGTGAGTGCGTTGGTGTTCCGCTGTGGCGGTGCCGGGTTCGAATCCAGCTCCATCCCTCCTCTGTGTTCTCAAAAATGTCTGTGGTCATACATTTTCTGATCCTCTTTTCCGCCCCAATATCCAGGCTCACACTCACACCTATGGAAAATGGAAAGTGTGTGCTCATCACCTGACTGGTAGTCGAATGGTTAGTGTGTTGACATTGCCCTGCGGAGGTGAGGGGTTCGATTCCCGCTCCGGCCTTCCTGTGTGTTCTCAAAGACATGCGTGGCTGTTCGTTTTATGATCTCTTCCCCGTGCAACTATTCGCGCTCACACTCACACCGAGGAACAATATAGAGCATTCATTCCCTACCTGGTAGTCGAATGGTTCGTGTGTTGGAGATGCACTGCAGAGGTGCAGGGTTCCATTCCGGCCTTTCGGTGTGAGGTTGCACGTTCTACCTGTACCTGCACATGTTGCCAAAAACGTGTGGCCATCCATTTTCTTCTCCTCTTCGTGCACACACTGACACCTTGGGACAATGGAGACTGTCATAGTATCTTCAATGTACGATACATGGTCGTTTTTTTTTGGCTAAAAACGCCTTACTATACATGGTCTTTTTTTTCGGCCCAAAACGTCTTACTGTACATGGTCGTTTTTTTCGGCTAAAAAATTCTGCTAAAAACGCCTTACTACACATGGTAATTTTTTTCAGCTAAAAACGCCTTACAATACATGGCCGTTTTTTCCGACCAAAACGCCTTACTATACATGGTTGTTTTTTTCGGCTAAAAACGCCTTCCTATACGTGGTCGTTTTTTCAGCTAAAAACGCCTTACTATACATGGTTGTTTTTTTTTTGGCTAAAAACGCCTTACTATACATGGTTGTTTTTTTTCCGCTAAAAACGGCTTACTATACATGGTTGTTTTTTTTCGGCCAAAAACACTTTACTATACATGGTTGTTTTTTTCGGCTAAAAACGCCTTACTATACATGGTTGTTTTTTTCGGCTAAAAACGCCTTCCTATACATGGTTGTTTTCTTCGGCCAAAATCACTTTACTATACATGGTCGTTTTTTCAGCTAAAAACGCCTTACTATACTCTGTCGTTTTTTTCGTGCCAAAATCACTTTACTATACATGGTCGTTTTTTTCGGCTAAAAACGCCTTCCTATACATGGTCGTTTTTTCCACCCAAAACGCCTCACTATATACATGGTCGTTTTTTTTCGGCCCAAAACGCCTGACTATACATGGTCGTTTTTTTCGGCCCAAAATGCCTTTCTATACATGGGCGTATTTTTCGGCCAAAAACGCCTTACTATACATGGTCGTTTTTTTCGGCCTCAAACGCCTTACTTCCATGGTCGTTTTTTTCGGCCCAAAATGCCTTACTATGAGTGGTCGGGTTTTTTTGGCCCAAAACGCCTTACTATACATGGTCCTTTTTTTTGGCTAAAAACGCCTAACTATACATGGTCGTTTTTTTGGGCTGTAAAATGCCTTACAATACATGGTATTGTAAGGCGATCATTTTATGATCCTCTTCCCCGTGCAACTATTCGCGCTCACACTCACACCTACGAAAAATATAGAGCATTCATTCCCAACCTGGTAGTCGAATGATCAGTCTGTTGGCGTTGCGCTGCAGAGGTGCAAGGTTTGATTCCGGCCATTCGGTGTGAGGTTGCACGTTCTACCTGTGCCTGCACATATTTCCAAAAACGTGGGGCCATCCATTTTCTTATCTTCGTGCACACACTGACACCTTGGGACAATGTAGACTGTCATATCATCTTAAATGAGATGCTGCTATATACGGTACATGTGCATCTTTATTCGCCCTCCCTACATGCCTTTGCTCTCTTGCCATCATTTGATTTGCAAGCATTCCTTTTCCAAAAAAAAGTCCAGTCGGTGTCAGGTCAGACATTGCCATTAATTCCCACACATCAGTTTTTTGGGGGGTTGTTTTCTCCATTTTGCGATGGCGCAGAGTTGAATTAAAGTTTAATGCTTGTATGGGACTGATTTGCACCTGAAAGCCATGCATGTGTGTGTGTGTGTGTGTGTGTGTGTGTGTGTGTGTGTGTGTGTGTGTGTGTGTGTGTGTGTGTGTGTGTGTGTGTGTGTGTGAAAGAATGCTGTTTAATCAAAGCACCACTGGGATGTGACCTGAGCATCTTGGCGTTCCTGATAGCGTCGTAGTTATGCAAAAATCACATGCAGGCAAAACGTTTTACCGGGAACCGAGTCATAATTTTATGAGGATTTTGATGAACAAGAATAGTGTGATGGAAAAAAGTCAAGAATAAGAGCAATTTGTCAAAATTCATTTTGGAATTCGCCCCCCCCCCACCCTCGCAAGAATTAAATGATTACATGATAAAAGCAGTGATTTGTAAAACTGATTTTCCTTAAGCAAGAAAAATGGTGTACGTCTTTACTTGTAATACACAAAGTCATACTTTTATGAGGATAAAGTCGTAACTTGACAAGAATTACAAAAAAAAAAAATGTCTAATTTTATACAAATAAAGTGTGAAAAAAGTCTTTGAGTCGCAGTTGTAATATTACAGCAAAGTCTTATTCGAGAATACGAGTCACATTATTAAGACGACAAATTTGAGATTTTCATTTTTACAAGAATAATAACGTAATTAAAGAAGGTTATGTTCCAGACTGTCACCTCAAAAGTGAAATTTGCGATATGGAAATATGCACCGTCTTAAAACACACAGACGTCACTTTCTGTTGGCATAAAAAGCAGGATTGAAGGGCAGTTACATTGAGTGAACTCGAGCAGAAGATGAGCCCAATCCTATTTTCATTCTTTCAAATTTAGTGTCGAACAAGCGTGTGTGACCCCATCTAATGGCCAACAGTGAAATTACGGCCAAAATAAACAGCACGGGGGGAAAAAAAAATGCAAAAAAGGGGGGGAATTCGAACCTGGAAGCCCACAGTGGAGGCGAGCTTACTATATTTTCATGAATTCTGGGAATTGCTGACATGCTGTGATGTCTGACGCAGCTTTGTCGACCTTCATTCATTTCTTTGGCGTTTCAGCAAGACAAGAGCGTCTTTTAGAATTCTCATTGGAGAGGCTCAATATGTTGTACAATTTGTTCCGCCGTTTGCCAATACCCATCATGGCTCATTGTTCCCGAAAACTGAGCAACTCGTCATGAGCGTGAATTGCCAGTGGAATTCATCCTGATGAGACTCAATATAATTGAACAATCTCATGCGGGCCAGCACATGCGAAACGTTTTGGGAGTGATTTTATTTTTTTTCCTCCATTGTGGAGACGCGACAAGAGCATCACAGACAAGCCCTGCCGTGGGGAAACTTCCAAGGCGAAGCTCAGATGAGCTTCGCTGCGTGGAGTGGCCCTTTGAGAGCCCTTCGCAAATCCACTGCCACTTTTCAAGTGGCGCAAAAAGAAATGAGAATTTGTGATGAAGACGTTGTTGTCAGGTCACTTGTGCCTGCTTTTCATTTTCGCTTCTAAGTACTAGATTTTTTTGCGGGGGGCGAATCTGATAAGAGGGATAACAAAAAAATAATTACCATTTCTTTATAGCGTAGGTAGAATACATTTCAGCTCATCAGCTTTATAGCACATGGACAAAAGGGGCTAAAGTTGTATTTTAATTTGGTTCTCCTCTCACCAAGCTCCTTCAAACAAGCCTGACAGTCATTCGGGAACCGACTACGCGTGGATAAAAAGTTAAACGTGACGTAGTAAACGTCACCATCTGAAGCCTAATTTCCGGTTTTATTTTGCAGACTTGCAAAATGTCCGACATGGAGGATTTGAGTGGGCCGAGCGTGCAAGCTAACGCATCGGAGAGCTACTCGTTGAACCCAGCTAGCGTGATCGTGTCGGTGGTTTTCTCGCTCATCTTCCTGCTGGGCACGGTAGGCAACAGCCTGGTGCTGGCCGTGCTGCTGCGCAGCGGCCAGGTGGGCTACAACACCACCAACCTGTTCATCCTCAACCTGAGCGTGGCCGACTTCTTCTTCATCATTTTCTGCGTGCCCTTCCAAGCCACCATCTACTCGCTGGACGGATGGATGTTCGGCTCCTTCATGTGCAAAGCCGTGCACTTCTTCATCAACCTCACCATGTATGCCAGCAGCTTCACGCTGGCTGCCGTATCCGCAGCTTTGTCGACCTTCATTCATTTCTTTGGCGTTTCAGCAAGACAAGAGCGTCTTTTAGAATTCTCATTGGAGAGGCTCAATATGTTGTACAATTTGTTCCGCCGTTTGCCAATACCCATCATGGCTCATTGTTCCCGAAAACTGAGCAACTCGTCATGAGCGTGAATTGCCAGTGGAATTCATCCTGATGAGACTCAATATAATTGAACAATCTCATGCGGGCCAGCACATGCGAAACGTTTTGGGAGTGATTTTATTTTTTTTCCTCCATTGTGGAGACGCGACAAGAGCATCACAGACAAGCCCTGCCGTGGGGAAACTTCCAAGGCGAAGCTCAGATGAGCTTCGCTGCGTGGAGTGGCCCTTTGAGAGCCCTTCGCAAATCCACTGCCACTTTTCAAGTGGCGCAAAAAGAAATGAGAATTTGTGATGAAGACGTTGTTGTCAGGTCACTTGTGCCTGCTTTTCATTTTCGCTTCTAAGTACTAGATTTTTTTGCGGGGGGGCGAATCTGATAAGAGAGATAACAAAAAAATGATTACCATTTCTTTATAGCGTAGGTAGAATACATTTCAGCTCATCAGCTTTATAGCACATGGACAAAAGGGGCTAAAGTTGTATTTTAATTTGGTTCTCCTCTCACCAAGCTCCTTCAAACAAGCCTGACAGTCATTCGGGAACCGACTACGCGTGGATAAAAAGTTAAACGTGACGTAGTAAACGTCACCATCTGAAGCCTAATTTCCGGTTTTATTTTGCAGACTTGCAAAATGTCCGACATGGAGGATTTGAGTGGGCCGAGCGTGCAAGCTAACGCATCGGAGAGCTACTCGTTGAACCCAGCTAGCGTGATCGTGTCGGTGGTTTTCTCGCTCATCTTCCTGCTGGGCACGGTAGGCAACAGCCTGGTGCTGGCCGTGCTGCTGCGCAGCGGCCAGGTGGGCTACAACACCACCAACCTGTTCATCCTCAACCTGAGCGTGGCCGACTTCTTCTTCATCATTTTCTGCGTGCCCTTCCAAGCCACCATCTACTCGCTGGACGGATGGATGTTCGGCTCCTTCATGTGCAAAGCCGTGCACTTCTTCATCAACCTCACCATGTATGCCAGCAGCTTCACGCTGGCTGCCGTATCCGTCGACAGGTAGGCGCAGGGGGGGAGGAAAGGTCGTGGCTGTCCACTGTACTCTCTCCAAAAATAAAAAGTATCTCGAGTTTGTATTTAGGGTCCGAGAAGCGACCGCTGCAAGGTCCCTATTGTAACATCCAACCATTTTCTGATCCGCTTTATCCTCACAAGGATCGCGGGGGGTGCTGGAGCCTATCCCAGCCGTCTTCG